TTTTTTTTTTTTTTTCTTTTTTCCTGCCCTGTGTGTGGACTCCCCCCTGTGTACAGTGTACATTGTATCATAGATTATATTGCTTTGGAGCTTTTAAATTAAACAAATCCACTTTATTTTTTAGTTGTTGTGCCCGCCTGAGGGCGTTTTCCCTGGATTATGTGATGGATCTGTTCCCAGTTTTCTGAGCTGTACCCGGAGGCAGCCGGGAGCTTTTCCTTGCTAAATAAATTTAGTCACCAGAGGCAAATCCAGGCTCCTTTTCTCTCTCTTTTTTCCCTGGAATGTTGTGGATGCAGCAGGAAGAGCCGGGTGGAACGCTGGGAAAAGTGGGATTGGTGGATGGGAATGCCCAAAATTGATGGAATTTGAGGGTTTTTTTTGCTGGAAATTTGCTGCTGGTTGTGCTCCCCCCCTGTTGCTGTGAGCTGCTGGGTCAGGAGTGTGGGTTTGTCCCCAAATCCCTGTCCCTTGTCATCCCAAATGTCCCATCCCCAGATTCCCAATTGTCCCTTGTCACAGCATCCCAAATGTCCCATCCCCAGATTCCCAATGTCCCCAAATTCCTGTCCCCACCATCTCCCAGCCCCTGCCCCTTGTCACCACTTGGCCCAAATCCATCCTATCTCCATCTTCTGTGTCCCCAATTGTCCCCAGATTCCTGTCCCTTGTCCCATCCCCACCTTCCCTGTCCCCAATGTCCCCAAATCCCTGTCCTGCCATGTTCCAGCCCCTTGTCACCACCTCCCGAGGCCCAACTATCCCATTCCCAGTTCTCTGTGCCCACCGTCCCCATGTTCAGGTGTCCCTGTGTGTCCCCAGTGTCCCCTTCTTGTCCTCGATGTCCCCGTGTCCCCCTCCCGAGGTCGCTGCCCCTTTAAGAGCCCCCCATGTGCTCCCACATTACTTCCGGGTCTTTTGGCCCCGCCCCCTCCATCTCCTCCAATGAGCTGCCAGCTCTCTCAGAGGCGCGCTCTCTCCGCCACTCCCTATTGGCTGACGAGGAGGAGGCGTGGCCGCTCTTAGCCCCGCCCCCGGCATGGTGGGGGCTCCGCTCGGCCGCGATGGAGCTGGGGGAGCTGCGGAAGAGCTACCGGGGGGACACCGAGGTGGGGCGGGGGGACCCGGGGGGACCCGGGGGTCCTGGCACCGGGGGGAGCCCCCAGGATGTCCCCAAGGCCCGGGGAACCCCCCCCTTTCCTCGAGGGTGTCACCCCCAAGCAGGGTAACCTCCCACGCAGCCGCTTCCCAGCGTGTCCCCAAGGCTCGGGGACCAGGGTGACACCCCCAGGATGTCCTCAAGGCTCGGGGGTCCCCTCCCCAGCCAGGGTGACACCACCAGGATGTCCCCAAGACCTGGGATCCCCCCACCTCTCACCTGCTGCACTCCCTATGCTGTCCGTGCCCTCGAGCGCGATGCCACCCTCCCAATGTCCCCAAATCCCCCCTGACAGTGTCCCCAGGGAGTCACCCCCACGTGTCACCCCCGTGTCCCCAGGCCTTCGAGGAGCGGCACTTGGTGTCCCTTGACCCCATCGAGCAGTTCCGAGCCTGGTTCCAGGAGGCCCTGGAGTGTCCCGGCATCGGCGAGGTCAACGCCATGTGCCTCGCCACCTGCACCAGGTGACATGGAGGGGACACGGGGGGGACACCGGGGTGGCCCGGGGGTGACAGAGGGGTGACACAGGAGTGGCCGGGGGGTGGCACGGGAGTGACACGGGGGTGACACAGGGAGGACACGGGGGTGGCCCGGGGGTGGCCCAGGGGTCACCCGGGGGGTGGCGGGGTCCCTGGGCACTGTCCTCACCCCGGTCCCCGCGCAGGGACGGGAAACCCTCGGCCCGGATGGTGCTGCTGAAGGGGTTCGGGCAGGACGGGTTCCGATTCTTCACCAACTACGAGAGCAGGAAGGGCAAGGAGCTGGTGAGGGCAAATCCCGATCGATAAATCCCGATCGATAAATCCCGATCGATAAATCCCGACAAATCCCGATCGATAAATCCCCATCAATCCCGACAAATAAATCCCGATAAATAAATCCCGATCAATCCCGATAAAGCCTGATCGATAAATTTCTGATTCCTGGAGCTGGTGAGGCTGGGGGAGATCCCGATAAATCCCAATAAATAAATCCCGATAAATCCCGGATTCCTGGAGCTGGGGGGGTAAAATCCCAGTAAATCTTGGGTTCCTGGAGCAGGGAAGGGCTGGGGGGCGGAATATGGAGAGTAAATCCCGATAAATCCCGGATTTCTGGAGCTGGTGAGAGCCGGGGGAGAGAAATTTTGGGGCAAATCCCATGGAATCCCGAATTCTTGGATCTGGGAGCAGCGTGGTTGTGCCGACAGCTCCGTCCTCTTCCTGCCAGGATTCCAATCCCTTCGCTTCTCTCGTTTTCTACTGGGAGCCGCTCTGCCGGCAGGTGAGGAGGGGTCCCCGGGATGGGGGTCCTGGGAATGGGGTGGGAATTTGGGGATGGGGTGAGCCAGGGTTGGGGGCCTGGGGCTGCGGTTTTTGGGTGTAAAAGTCAGAGAATGAAATTGTTCCGTGCTCGGGAGCTCCTTTGGAGCCACTGGCCCGAGCCCAGGGGATGGTGGTCCCCACCAGGGACGCGATCCTTGCAATTTTTGGGGTGGAAAAGTCAGGGAATGGGGCAGCTCCGTGCTCGGGAGCCCCTCCGGAGCTGTGGCTGCCCGGGCCAGGTGCGGATCGAGGGCTCGGTGAAGCGGCTGCCGGAGGAGGAGTCCGATCGCTACTTCCAGTCCCGCCCCAAGGGCAGCCAGATCGGGGCTCTGGCCAGCAGGCAGAGCTCCGTCATCCCCGACCGGGAGGTGAGCGGGGCCCTGGAATCCCTGATCACCTTCCCCGTTCCCTTTGGGATCGATGGAATCCCTGATCACCTTCCCCGTTCCCTTTGGGATCGATGGAATCCCTGATCACCCTCCTGTTCCCTTTGGGATTGATGGAATCCCTGATCACCTTCCCCGTTCCCTTTGGGATCGATGGAATCCCTGATCACCCTCCTGTTCCCTTTGGAATTGATGGAATTCCTGATCATCTTCCCTGTTCCCTTTGGGATCAGCCTTAGGGAATCCCCGATCACCCTCCCCATTCCTTTTGGGATCAGGGATGGAATCTCTGCTCACCCTTCCCTTTCCCGTTCTCGTTCCCTTTGGGGTCAGCCTTTGGGAATCCCTGCTCACCTTCCTCATTCCCTTTGGGATCAGGGATGGAACCCCCCTTTTCCCTTTGGGATTGATGGAAGCCCAACTCATCTTCCCTATTCCCTTTGGGATTGATGGCATTCCTGCTCACTCTCCCTGTTCCTATTCCCTTTGGGATCATCCTTTGGGAATCCCCACT